TGTCATCGCACTCTTTCCCCAGAAGCTGCAAAACCAACAAAACCAATCAGAAAACGAGAAGAACGAAGGAAGAAGGAATTAGGGCTAGGCATTGTTGGACCTTGTCGCGAACCCAGCCACCGGCGACTCGGAGCTGAGTTTGGAGGCTGAAGTGGCGAAGAGTGGCGAGAAGCCTATCGAAGATGGCTCTCTCGGTGTCGGAGAGGTGGATTTTGTCGCGAACCAGGAGCGTAGACATGGGCGCGCAACCGCAACACCGAAACAACGGCGTGGCGATTCGAAGGAGGGTTTTGGCGGGACGGTGGGAGTGAAGAGGAAGAAGAAGGGTTGGTGCGTTTGACTGTGGAAGTGAGAAACCCCTCACACTCAAATTGGGTCTGGGATGCACCACAACCAGCCTTGTCACACTTTTCAAACTCACTCTCATTTCATGCCCTTTCGTTTCTTTAAATACTCACTCACAGACTGAAACCACATCCCATTTGCTCTTGCGTGTTATATATATTTGATGGAAAGGATCGTGGTATCGCCACAGCCTAAATGGGGGAAGGAATTATTAACAACGTAATAAAGTATCATTCATTTTTTTAAAATTAAAAACTTTAAATAAAAATATACTTACACACTCCAAATATTGATAGACACCTAAATATATATAATGTGACATGAAAAAAAGAAATAGAAAAAAAAATGATAAATTTTAGTAAAATATTTTTAAAAAAATTAAGTGTTCAGAAATTATAATTTTTAATAGCTTTACTGTATAAAAATTTTACATTTACAGCATGAGTATAAACTTTTTTTTTTTTTTTGGAAGATGCAAAGAAATGAATATTTACTTTTTATTAAAAGGTTGTGTAAAAAGTTTCTCGAACATTTTTTTCCCTAAAAAAATCATATTATCATTTTTAAGGTGCTTTCATTCTCATGATAAGAGGGTAAAAAAGTTATTATTGATATTTTTATCACACTTGTAACTTATATTTTATGTATTTTCTTAAAACTATTTTGAATTTAAAAAATATTCTTAGTAATAGTAATATTAAATGTAACCAAACAGTTTTTAAATATATTCTCAAAATTGTGATTTTATGAAAGTAAAATGATACCTTAAAATATAACCAAATATCTTTTTTAATATATTCATAAATAACATTATTAATTATGATATTCTTGGGAGAGTCATTTCTAGGAATGCAAAAACGATACATTAAAACAAACATTCCCTTAAATACATGTCATGGGAAGATTGGTTGTGGGTCGGAGGGGTTAAAAAAATAAAACAAATGGAATATAATCCATAATCTTGTTTCCTTTCGTTCAAATGTTACTTAGCTCACAGAAACAAACAATGAGCCTCTATACAGGTTGCAAGCTTATATTCAATGCATCTATCTCTATGAAGCAGAGCTACAAATTTAACCAAAAAACTCAACCTAGCTTCTTGCATTTCTTCCACCTTTTCTGCCAACAGCTTCACATAGTCTGCATGGCAACGTGTCAAGGCTCACAGCTCGGGTTTTTCCATAGTTACCTAGTACACCGCACCTTCTCCATGCATGGTATTCTGCATATGCTACCGGGTCATTAGCCACGGCCTTCACATATGAAGCCAACTCTTCCAACGACCTGAATTTTCTACCATCTATTATTGAATGTGGAGGAACAAAATCCATGACATTTGGTGCACCAAAATAGATAGGAACTGCACCAGAGTCTAAGGCATAGAATAACTTTTCCGTCACATAACTCTCGGTAAAAGTGTTCTCAATTGCAAGAACAAACTTGTAGTGAGACATGGCGCAATGTAAATGATCCCACCATTTTGGTGTAACGTTGGCATCATTTGCACATTCGGGATAGAGAGAAAGAGCCATGTCTAGACCACCAACATTATTTAGGCACTTTCCAAATGAATGATGCGGCAGTAAGCCAAGGAGTTTCTTGGCAAGTTCATTCCTTTGAGAGAGACACCGTGATGAGGACCAATAAACAAGTATATCCTACAGATGATAATGTGGGTTAGGTTGTTATAAGTTACTCTTCTTTTATCTGTCATTTAATATACTCTTGATAAACTACTTAGTACTTACACTGTTTTTTTTGTTGGAGACGTGATAGTTTCGACCGTTGTGAAAAAGTGCACCAGCATAGGTTGCCTGTACATCATCCTCAGCATGATAACTAATATATAAATCCTCTCGACCTGATCTCTTTCGGCCAGCTTCGAGATCCATATATACACGAAGAGGTTCTCCCATGCGTCTCTGAAATAAAAAATAAACCATAACCAATGGGCCAAATGCAATATCACAGTATATGTTATCAGCCAAAAAATCCTGAAAGCCTAAACATGCATTCACAAGACAACCAAGCATAAGAAGCATTTGAGAAAGAATAGTGGACAATAAAAGCACCGTCAGTACAAAACTAAGGACATGGTGCCATGGTGGGATTTTGAAGTGCTTAAAATAGTAAGTGCTTATTAAACTCATCTACAAAAATAAGGATACATGAGGGGAACCAAAAGAAACACTCTTCTGGAAAAATGCCTTTGCCATTAAATCAGATGAAAATGCAAGAGATAATCATATCAAGCTAATGAACTAAGCACTGATGGTTGATACTGTAGGCTTGTTTTAACCACATCTTAAACACTTAAAGGCTCAAACCGATACATGACTTGAGCCAATAAGAGTGCAAATAATTACCACATTCATACTACCAAATAAATAATGTATGGTTTCGTGCTTATTTTTGTTTGCTGAGAGGCAAGAATTACATTCCAATAATTAGATATGCTTTGAAAACAACTGAACCAAAAGGCATTTTAGTTGTTGACTTTCTTAAATCTGATCCCTGACAGCAGAAAAATAGAATTAAAACCAAAGACAGAGAGTTAACAAAATAGAAGAAAATGGACGCAACCACAGCACAGCCCAAATGGCAATGAAGCTAATAACATTTTGGAAAAGGGGAGATATTATCACCAATAAATTCTTTCATCAGCTATGGATGATTAAGCTGTTCAAGAAATCAAGAAGAACTTCTTGTTGCTATTAAGACCTAAACGGTATTAGGGTAGAGGTAGAAACACAAAGGAACTAATATGAAAAAATGTGGCTCTTTTGCTTAAGAAATCTCAGAAGTGAAAAAGGACTATTTTGCTATTATACACTGTTTTTACCTCTATCAAACATTCCTAAAAAAATGCACTCCAACACAAAGCAAACAAAGCTTTTTTGAATTACTACACTAGGTTATGATGGAAAAAATGATATCTCCAGATCCTAACCCACTAAATAGTCCTCAACACAAGCATTATATCAGATGTCTATATTATAGCTACAGCTAGTTTATCGAACTCCAATAAAAAAACACCAACAGTTTTGTATGTTTTACACATAATCTCAATTCAAGATCCATTAACCTAATCTTCACACAAAGATCATCTCACACTTCAAGATAATACCACCTGGATAAGCTGATAATAGAATACTTAGGGCACATTTGTTTTAAAGTTGGGTATAATTGTTTTTGATAAAATTAATTTTGAACCATTAAAAATACTTAGAACGTGTCAAAATTAATCTCAGTCATAGATTTACATTAGAAGTGTATTTTTCATTGGAAAGTGTGATAATTAATCTTCCAATGCCAAGCCAAACAGGGGCTTAGTAATATAATTTGCCAGCAGATTCCAATGACTACCACTCCCTCCTTCTGCACCAATGTATTTCACATCATAACTACTTCTAGTTGCAATATAATCACTTCTATTCATAAGAATTTGTTCATCATATCATCTCATAACTATCTACAAAACACATAAATTTAGTATTTTATTAAAAATTGACATCCAAGTGAAAGTTTTGAAAAAAAAAAAAAAAAAAGGTTCATTTATGATGTGTGAACATATCCTTCTCGGCTAGCATGATAACAAGCCAAATGTCCCAGATCTAATCCAACATCAAGTCTTCAACAGCAATATAAGAACACTGGTGAATCAAATCATAAACCACAGAAAATTCTCACTATCTATTAATTCAGCCGTGAAAACTGAAATAATAAACCGAAACCAAACTTCAAAGGAGACATCAACAAAGCAAGCATCACAAATCGAACCCTCAATATCACCTGGATGAATCTGCCACAGCCGAGACACCATTCATGCCAAATTTACATTCCAAGACAAAGCTCTCAACTCCAAAAGACCCACAATAAAAAATGCAATTTTGTTACAAAACCAGCACACCCATTTACACTCCCAAAAAAAAGAGAAGCAAAAACCCACCTGAAGCGGAGGCGTGGACGATTCAAACAGCAAAGCATCAGGCTTGTCAGCGAGAACGGGCGATTTGGTCCACAAGCAGCTCAACCCACAAGAGCATGAGTACAAGTTATCCAAGTTATCAGGAATCCAAGTCCACCCTTTGACCAAAACGCTAACATGGTTCAGTTCCAACCCTCCACAGGCGCCAAATTCCTGCAAAGAAGCAACCTTTGAGTGGTTGAGGGACACCCCATTTGGTTTCTCCCTGAAGCGAGCGCAACCCACTTGTTGGTCCCATTTCCTGAAGGCGGCGAGCAGATCGGTGAAGGGCTCCCCCGTGGGGGGCGTTATGGGGCGGACGATGGGTGGGAGAGAGGAGGAGATGGAGGGGAAGTGGAGGAAGCCGGAGAAGAAGAGGAGGAAGAAGGTGCAAGTGAGCATGATTGTGATGGTGAAGGTGTTGATGGGTTTGGGGGGTACCGGCATGGCGGAAAGGAGAAGGTGGGGTTCAATCTATGCCTCTCCTGGAGACATGGGAATAGTACACGCGCGATCACTTGCTCCTCTTCTTCTTCTTCGACTCTTCGGTCTTACGTTTCTTTGAATGAGTTTGGTGTCGTGGATTAAGGTTAAGATTTCGGTCGTTTTAGTAATTGTTGTATAATACTTTTCAAACGGGTTTCGGTCATTTTTTCCTTGCCTTATGGTGGGTGTGTTCCTTTCGGTTGACATGGGACTTGGTAAAGTTAATTAATCCGCTGCTACTTCCATGATTTCTCGCTTATTTGTCGATTATAAAAAATTTAAATATATTTTCAGTCTTTTAAATTTAGGTTTAATTTATCTCTTTAAATTTAAAGTTATTATTTTTTGTTATTTATAAAAAAATCAAATATATTTTAAATTTTTTAAATTTAAGATAAATTTATTTTTATTTTTTAAATTTAAAGTTATTATTTTAATCTTATAATTTAAATAAAATTATTTTAAATTTTATATTTGAATTTTGTTAAAAAAATTTATTAAATATTATTATATAAAATTTATTTATTAATATTTAAATCTAATTAATATTATATAATTATCTTTATTTATCACTTTCATATATATTATTAATGATCTAAGAAACTAAAATAATATTTTTTAAAATTATAAAAATTAAAAATAATAATTTTAAATTTAAAAAATCAAAAATAAATTTATTTTAAAGAGATCAAAAATATATTTAAGCCTTTTTCTATAATTATTTGCGAAGCAATTTATATAAAAAAATAACGACAACAACTCCTCATTTTAAAGTGTAAAATGGTGGATGTCGCTGGTTATTACAGTGTCATTCTTAATTCTTGTCGATGTAATTTCCTTTTCCATCTAAAATTAGGTTGAAGCGATTCTTATTTAGCTGTACGTAAAATGCTGTAGTGTCTAAACTAAAATTTTTTTAAAGAAAATTGCTTTGGTACCATATAATTTTAGGTATTTTGATACAGACGTTTTTTTTAAATTAATAAAGAAAAAGTAAAGTAATTTTTTCTCTTTTCATTTTTTTCCTCTACTGAGTGATGGATTATTGACAATGAATAATTTAAGTAACTTATTATTATTTTCTCACTAAATATGGATTTAAATGTTTCAAATCGTATTAATGTAACTTTGAGCAAAATATAATAAAATTTTATTTGTTAAAATATAATTAAGTTGAGTTGTGGAGAAGAAGAAGTTGGGATTTTGGTGTTGTTTTGAAAATTCTAAATTTTGCGAAGATTTATGGTTGCATGTGGATATTCTAAGTTGTTTTCATTTATTTACTTTGTTATGAATGGTTTGATTATAGTTGTATGTGTTGGGAGTTGCTGAGATTGCAAGATTTGAGGAAAAATCGAAGTGAGGTTTCATTTTGAAGTTTCCATGTCAGTCAAGGGGGTGACTGATCAGTTATGTGCATGACTGGTCAGTCACGGGCGTGACTAGTGTAACGACCCGACTGGTCACTACAAGTCAACCTCAAAACACTGGAAACACTAGACAGAATGAGCAAGTATATAATTATAGGGTCTAGAATATAAAAATATACAAAGTCTCGATTCGACTAGAATTAGAGTGTATTAAAACATCCAACCAACAAAACCATTTCAGCATCTTTAGCTTTTCGCTTGAGAGACTCCCGGATAATATGATTGACAACAGGAATCTATAATTCAGAATCACATATTAGGCTATTTAACCATGATGTCACTTGAAATAATAATCACATGAAAAGACACAAGGTACAATGAACACATGCCCCCATTGAGCACACACAGCATACATATTAGTCCCCACTCTGCAGGGGAGGAATTGAACCAAGAATCTTCAAGTTTATAAGCTCAAACACCTGAAGTTTAGATCAAGGCTTGACTTGGCTAAGTTCAAACCCGATCATCATTTTAATTTTTTTTTTAATTAGAAGTGCCAGAAAACTGCAATGCAGGTACCAAGACAATTTTTTTTATTTTTAGTTAAGAGGAAAAAAGAATTTATTTCATATTCATTTACAGAGATTGAGATTTATAGGCAGAGTTGGTTAGAGGTTTTCTAACCAATCAAATTCAAAAATAAATAACACAGGAAAATTAAAACAGAAAAATAAGGACAAGATCAGTAAAAAACTAATCTATCCTGAGGGTCTAGGATTAATTTATTGTACAATATCCCAACAACTTTGAAGTTAGAACCCCCCCCCTTTTTTTTTTAAGTTAAAACATAGATACCCAATTTGCCCAACTTGCTAACAAGACATTCAAAATGAGGCCAAAACAGTCCTTTGGTTAGAAAATCTACCAACTGTTGGGAGATTGGGACAAACTGCATACAAATAAACCCTTCATCAAAACCTTTGATAACTGGCTCAATTCTCACTTGACAAATGGCATAAAATAACTAGAGTTGGAAATCTAATACGGACATTGTGCTAGATGCATCAATTACTCAATTCAAATCACAGAGCTCCAAGTCAACGCAATAGCAGCTTAATATGCCAAATCAAAAATAGTACTAATATATATAGAAAGTAATGAGTATATACCTTCTTAGCTTTCTTTTCTCTGTAAGTAGTATCTCTAAGAGGGAGAAACATAGCAGCACAAAGCGTTAACCTTTGTTGTTCAGCCTAAAATATACAGAAATTGCATATCAGCATATAAGATAGCCAAACAAACCTTAAGTGGTATGGGAACAAACATGCAACTCCCTATAATGACAATAAAAATGTAAGAAAATAATATATTGCAAAAAATAAAGTTTAACTGATTACTGACAGTAAAGGTTGACCCTCCAAGTAAATGGATAAGGTTCTATGCAGCATCCAAGCAAGAAATGCAAAGCCTGGAAAAAGTTTTAAAAATACCTTATTAGCATGACCAACAAAAATCCATCTCCGTACAAAAGAATAGACAAAAACAAAATAAAGAACTGAGCATGATTATAAGGTTTAGTGGGGAAGTAAATAATGAGATAATGGAGACTCCAATACCCAGATTGATATAAGGTTTATATAATACATAATAAACCCAAATACCAATGTCACACCCACTTTATACAAATAATTAGATCAAGTGTAATACTGCAAGTACTAGCAAAGCTTAATTAGATTTCTAACCTAACAAGATTAATGACATGTAAGAATCGTAATGTTCTAACAGCACAGGTGAAAGATCTTGAATTTGGGATGGGACTGACTCAACCCCAAAAGCTAAGTACATGAGGCGATGATTGCCTAAGCATTTATTAGATCTACTTTAGTCATATTTATAGTCGATGTGAAATCTCAACACCCCCTCATGCGAAAGATTGGACATCTGGAGTACGAAGATTGTAGGAATGAATTTTATTTATTGATTGCATTTGGAAACCCAGCCAGGGTGGCCCAATATCATCTCTATGATAGGCTTTAGATAGGCTCCAAGACCATCTTCAATTAAGGCCACACTTAGTTCAACCACAAAAGCTAGCTCATAAGGTGAGGATTGCCCAAGCCGCTAATAAGCTTTGCTTTTAGTCTCAATATAATTGGTACAACCAAAAGAGAAAGGAAAAAGTATTAAATTGCTTTCATGTTCTTCATTTATAAAGCAATAACAGTTTTATATAAATGTTGGAAGTTTCAGAACAACATAAAATCCCAATATTTTAAGAAAATGGTAAGCCTGTCACATATAACGAGCCTGTTAATATTGCTAGGCCAGAAAATGTTAAAACTGAGAAAGAAACTAGACAAGATAAGCCAGAAAATGTGACCCAAGCATCTGAACATATCAGCAACTCTTTTCGATTGAGGTTCTCCCTCTCTTAAAACAACCATAGATTTAATTCAACAGATTAATGATATGAAAAACATCATGAACAAGCCAATTTCAAATCAAAACATCAAAAACAAATAACACTCTAATTTCAAAAGGCAAATAACACTATAATTTCAAAT